TGTGTATGTGTGTATCTGAGCTTAATTGCAGCCTTCTTGGAAGAATGGGGGGAGAGAAAAAAATAAAGTAAAGAGTGCACAGCATAGAACAAAAGAAAACCTACAAGGAAGCAAAGAAAAGCTGGACAGCTTTGAAAATGATATATAGTATTTATTTATTATATAGGTTTTCTTGAAGTGGAAGTTTATTGTTTTATATTGAATCTCCTCTTATGTTCTGCTGTATACATGGCAATTTTTTTCCTTTTCTTATTTTGTATTTAAGTTTAAAATAAATTACATATATGTGAAAAAAAATTTTAAATCTAATTGCCAAAATAACAACAACAAGAACAGTTTCCTCTTAAGTACAGAGTACATGTAGGGGAATAAAGTATCTAAAGACTGGAAAGGTAGGCTGCAGCCAAATTATGAGGGTCTTTAAAAGCCAAAGAGAATTTTAAATTTGATACTGGAGGTAATAGGGAGCTATAGGAGTTTATTGAATGGGGGGGGGTGTGACACAGTCAGTTGTGCAATTTGACAGATTTATTTGACAGCTGAGTGGAGGATAGACTGGAGTGGGGAGAGGTTTGTAGTATGTTGACCAACCAGAAGCCTATTGCATTAGGGTAGGCATGCATGAGGTGAGAAGGGCCTGGACCAGAGTGGCACAATGTGGGAGCAGGGGTGGGGTGTGGGGACAAACATACAAGAGATGTAATTGACAGAACTTGACAACTAATAGGATGTGGGAAAGCGACTTGAAATTCTGCAGGTAAGTACACACCCTTTGACCCAAAAATTTCACTGCTAGGCAGTGACCCCAAGGAGGTCGTTGACAAAAAAGAAAGACTGTCTACACCAATATTTATAGCAGTACATCTTGTGTCAGGAAAGAACTGGAAACAAAGTACATGCTCTTCAACTGGGGAACAGCTAAATAAATCTTGACACGTGACTAATGGAATAGTACTTTTCTATAAGAAATGACAATATAATAAATACAGAGAAGCATAGAAAGATCTACATGAACTGATGCAAAGTGATGTAAGCAGAGCCAAGAAAATGACAGACACAATGACTACAACAATGTGAACGGAAAGAGCAGTCACCACAAAATAATCGAAAATGAGCGTTGTAAAATTACAAAGAACAAGCTTGGCCTCAAAAAAAAAAAATATGACACCTCCCCGAAACTCCTTTGCAGAGGTTTGTGGGGATGGTGAAGAGGAAGGGGATACATAGGCATACAACATGATAATAATGACTAGCACATATGCATCACTTTAAGGTTTGCAAAGCACTTTACAAATATCTCATTATATCTTCACAACAACCCTAAAAGGTAGATGCTATTATAATGCCCATTTTACAGATAAACTGAGGTAGATAGTGGATAAGTGATTTGCCCAGGGTTACACAAATAATAAGCATTTGAGGCTGGTTTTGAACTCAGATCTTCCTGATCCACAACCAGTGCTCGATCGGCTGCCTCAATATCCGCAGGAATGTTGCATGTAACATTATAATTCTTTTTGATGTATGGATTGCTTTTGCTGAATTTTTTTTCTTCTTAGTTTTCTTTACATTATTTATTATAAAGGATGTCTCTGGGAAGGGAAGAGAGAAGGATATAGGGGAACATCTAGATGACATAAAAGCAAATAGAGCAATAAAACCCATTTTGGAAAAAAGCTAATTTCCACTTCCCTTTGGGGGTACATGTTTGTTGTTGTTTAGTTATTTCAGTCGTGTGCAGCTCATCATGACCCCATTTGGGGTTACTATCAATCAGTCAACAAGCATTTTACCAAGCAGCCAAGCAGGCCAGTCCCTGCCTTGAAAGAATTTATACTCTACTGGGAAGATTATTATAGACTGATATATCTGATTACCTAGTTTACAATCCATACAATAAGAATGTCAGAACAAGAATGAATTTTAAAATACAATACATTATACACAATAGAATGTTTGAGCTAGGACCTTAAAGGTTATCAGCTCCAGACCCCTAATCCCCAACACCCAACACCCAACAGCTAGTCCTTAGTCAGTTACTAAGCAAGTCACTTAACCTGTCTGCCTCAGATTTATCAACTATAAAATTGGGATAATAATAGCACCCACCTCTCAGGTTTGTTGTGAGGATCAAAAGTGACAATGTTTGTAAAGCACTTAGCACGTGCTTGGTGCATCATCATTATTATTATCACTTCCTATTTTGCTAATAGGTTATCATAGGTTTCCATAAGGCTCAAAAAGCACTTTGCTCACAAAGGTAAGCAGTTAAGGCGAATAGCACCAGTATTATCCCCATTTTATAGATTAAAAAACTGAGGCTTAGGGAAATCAAGTGACTTGCCCATGATTACACAGCTGGTATCAGAGCCAGTACCTGAACCCAAATCTAACTCCCAGACTAGTATTTCACAGTATGGCCACTAATCCTCCTTCAGATAGGTTGGCCTTGCTCCCTTCCAGAGGTCCCTTTCACTTCTCAGACTGTAGAATCTGCAAAAAGCTTGCAGTCTCAGAAGGGGCATTTATCTCTTTTCAGCATAAGCCCACTGCAGCTAGCATCATGTCAAACAGCTCACTAAAGCACCAATGAAGCCATAACTCACCTAACTAATATGTCACCTTAGTAAATCAAACAAGTGTGTTAAGGGCATAACAGTTTCCATCACATATTTTCCTTCCTGCTGAGCTGTTGGAGAACATCCAGAGAGTAACGGGAAACCTGGTTGCTCAATCCTGTTTCCTCTCACAGGGCAACTCCTCTGAAACTGAGTCCCACTGAGCCCCTCCCTTCCACTTGAACAAGTGAATATACCATGAGCACAAGCCAAGAGAATTAGGGGAGGAAGGAAGTGGGTATTTTCACCTGCATCAGGGTTTCCTGCAAATTTCTGGCACAGTGGCCACATTCATTAATCACCCTACTCGTTCTCAAGCCCCTAGGAGGCCCCAGTGCAGACAAGTGAATGACTTTATCACTGGGAGATGGATTAAAGAGACACAGTGCAATGCAAGGCAGAGTACTGGGTGTGCAGCAAGGACATCTGGGTTGTGGTCTCAGTTCTGCCACTTGTTGTGTGATCTTGGGCAAGTCACTGCTCCTTTGGACCTCAGTTTCCTCACTTATAAAATGAGGAGATTGGATTATTAGATAGTCTTTAACCTTCCATCCAGCTCTAAAACTATGATTCTAAGGAGGTTTGTGACTAGGAAGTATTTTCTCTATTTCACAGAATCTCCAAGTTGGAAAGCAGGTTGTGTCAGGAGCTGTCAGTCTCTGAAAGTCTTAAAGCAGAAGCTAGGTGACCACTTACCAGAGTAAAGGGGATTCTTGTTCACATACAATTGGACTAATTGGAAAGTGTGCTGGATTTCAAGTAAAACAATATGTATTAGAATTCTGCTCTGCCATTTACTAGCTGGGTGCCTAAGAGATGAATAATCCATGACCACTGGGTGATTCTCTTTTCTTTCCCAGCTCTCTTCTGTCCCAATCTCTTAATTCCCACCCACAATCTTTCCTTTCCATATCTTTCTTCTTTCTCCTGTTACTGGCAATAAAGTTGAATTTGAGAAAAAGATATTTAATAGCTTTGCATTTTGTGTTCTTAAATTTTAAAACAGATTAAGCTTACCCTTATTTCTTTCAAAAAAGAATCTTACATTAAGCTACATTTTATTTTTATGTGGTCCCTTATTTCAGTCTGTTGGTCAGTGGAACTTGGGTTTCCTGATCCCTGCTGCAGAGTGAATGATCCTAATTGTTGCCTCCTGGGGTTTTCTCAGGGAGTCAGGGGCAAGTTTTCCATTCAAAGAAAATTCTACCAATACTCAACATTCAGACCATCCATGGCACAACAGTGCTAGCTCATGCTTCTATTGCATTTTCTGGCTTTTTACAAAATGATTTTCTCTCCCTGTGGCTCCATTTCACAACTGAGACTCAGGTTAAAAAAAAAAAAACTTGCCTAAGTTCACACTTCTCTTGTCAAAACTAGGACTTGAACCCAGGTCTTGGAAAATAAGGTCAGGAAAGGGTAAGCAAGGTATTCAAGGATCTCCTGAATCACTTGGACAAATTAGGGAAAGAAGAGTTTAAAATGCTATAAAGTTTCAAAAAGGAGATGAGGCAACGAATTGGGGGTAGGGAGGGATCTTTTTTATATAAAGGTGACTTTCCAATATGAATCATATTAATTGGGGGGGAAAAGGTTACAGATGAAGATAATTTTTAAAAATAGTGAAACCATTTGCATTAGACAATTTAAGTTTAATTGACATATCTCCCCCATTTTCCTAAATATTGTAGATTTCTCTGGGCTTTCATTTCCTTCCCTGTAAAATGATTGGGCTGGACTAGGTGATCTATGAGGTTCTTTCCAACTTGAATAATCGATATTCTAAAGTTCAAGTAGAATGTAAGCTACTTGAGGGCAGGGACTGTCCTAATTTTGTATTTGCCTCCCCAGTGTCTCTCCAAACTCTGTTCAGTCCATGGCTTCCCAGATTACCTAGCGACCTCTTCCCCAGAGGCCATTTCACACTGACATCATTCATTTCCGTCCCCACAGTCTCCTCCTTTGATTGGGGGGAGCTTATCCTTGGAATCTTCATTGGAGAAAGCACTCATGCTTACTCCAAGCTCAGCTCAGTCCATGACTCCTTGAACTGCTTCTTCCTTTTGTGTCCCCATTAGTTCTTCCTCCCCCCCACCCTGAAGTTTGTCCCTCCCCCCAATGGAATGGAAACTCTTTGAAGCAAGGATTTTCTTTCTTATTCCTTTTATTTGTATTCCCAGTGCTTAGCCCAATGCCTAGCATATATTAAGTCCTTAATAAATGGCTACCAATTGGTTGATTAACATTTTATTTTTGAAGGTCCCTTCCAATTCAATGGTCAATAGTTCTAAGAAATCCACTGACCTAGTTTTGTCTATTCAAACCATTCTACAAAAAAATTGAGTAAGCACTTATTCAACTCATACTAAAAGAAACACTTAGGTTGTTACATGTCCCATGTAAGCTTTATTATGTGAAATCTCCAGAGCACAGAGATTAGGATATGTTCAATTATTGCACAACTATTAGGCTACTGTAATAAAAAACAAGAGACAAAAAAAAAAAAAGAGAGGAAGAAACTGCCATGAGTCAGTCTCTTTGAAAACTGGATGGGCAGCTATCATAGGCACCAGAATAGGTAGGGTTTATGCGACTCAGACGTCCAGCTCAGCCATGGCCCTGTCCAATGGATCCACATCCCAGTAGCTGTTGTCCCAGCCAAGGAACCAGCCCATGAATGAGGGTGGCTCGAAGCCTTGCTTCACAATAGTGATGGGTGTTCGACGATCCCTGTTTGCAGGATCAGTTTCTATATACCGCTTGGCTACAGAAAGACACACAAAGAGGGAAACAAAAACCCAGGGGTTATTAGTATCTTCATCCTCCTTTGCTGATGGCCTTTTAGGGCAGAAGTTGGCAAATGATGATATATAGCTTGTGTTTAATTGCCTGTGTTCTTGTTGCTAATGTAGAAATGATGGAAATTTTGGGAAGAAGTGACTAATCATTATTAAGAGAGTTCATGATAGAGAAGGAAAGGCCAGAGTCTGATGGGCACACCAGATTTGGAAGAGCAGATTTCAAGGAGGTCAGAGAAATGGCAAGATCTTATGTCCTGAGATTCTAAAGGGAAAGTCAGCCCTCCTGGATGGTTTGCTCTTTTAAAAATATATATGTTTTAAAATTTATTTTGTTTTGTTTTTGTAGGCAAGTAACTTGGCCAGGGTCACACACCTAGTAAGTGTCAAGTGTCTGAGGCCAGATTTGAACTCAGGTCCTCCTGACTCCAGGTCTGGCACTCTAAACACTGCACCACCTAGCAGTGTTCACCCTAACTGAAGAGTAATATAAACAAACTACACAATATTCTGACCAAAAATGTAGAATATATGATAAAAGATGGGTTTAAGCATGGCAGACCAACCTGGTTTTCTTTTTTGGTATGGTTACTAGACTGGGAGATCAGGAAAATGTTGTAGGCACAGTGTACCTAGATTTGATCAAAACATTTGGCAGAGTCTCTCATGATTATCTCATAAACAAGATAGAAAGATGTGAGCGAGATGACAGTACTAGTTAAGTGGATTATGAACTATGGAAATGATTGGGCCTAAAAAGTAGTATGTCAAGGCCAACCTGGAGGGAGATCTCTGGGAATACCCCAGAGGGCTGTGCATGAGTGAACATGGCAGCCAAATTGGCAAATACTAGATTGGACTGCATTCATGAAGACATAGAGTCCAAAACTCAGCAGGTGATGGTCCTCCCTGCTATCTGCCCTCATCATACCATATCTAGAGTACAAGATTTAGTTCTGGATGCCATGTTTTAAGAAAGACATTAAAAAACCAGAGTGCCTCTCCAACAGGGTATGAGAGACCTTGCTATATAAAAATCATTTGAAGGAACTGGAGATGTTTAGCCTAGAGAGGCAAAGACTTGGGGAGAGGAAAAGGGGGAATGATTGCTATGTTCAAGTGGCTGAAGGACCATCATGGGAAAGGGAGATGAGATTCATTCTGCTTGGCCTCCAAGGCCAAAACTAGAAGCAGTGAGTGAGTGAAAGCTGTAAAGAGGCAGCTTTCACCTGGATTTAAGGAAGAACTTCCTAAACTATGACAGTGTTCAAAAGCGGGCAGGCTTGGGAGGCAGTGGAGTCTTTGTTAACAATGGTGGGGAGGTCAGATCACTTGTCAGAGATACAGTAGAGGAGTTCCATGTTTAGGCACGGGTTGGACTGGATGATCCTTGAGGTCCCTTCTGACCTGGATATTCTGCTGTTACATCACTACAGTTTTGTCTCATGGGATAAAAGGATGTTTAGACTGCAAGTTGCATTGGGACACAAAATATTTTAGCTAGAAGGAGCCCTGGAACCTAAGAACAATAACAGCCGACATGCATAATGTCATTTTAAGGTTGACAAAACACAAAATACGTTATCTCGGTGAGCTATGCTAGAACATAAAGTTCAGAATGTTCTAACACAGAACCTAGAATGTTCAAGCTGCAAGGGGACCCCATAAACTCTCTAGTATTCTAACATCCTCTTTTTTCCAGCAGAGGGAACTAAATCCCACAAAGGAGAAGGAATTTGCTTGACAGTCATAGCACTGTTAGAAGGTGGTAGCCAGGACTGGAACCAAGGCCTCCTCATTCTCACTCAGTCCAGTGCTTTCCCCACTACTTTCTTTTTTGAATGTTTTAGGTAGAAGACAGTGGTGCTGTAGGGGGAGGATCTAAAGGGCAATAGCTTCTTATAAAGAAATTTTGGGTCCCATAAAATGAGCTTTACACACCCAGGAGAACCAACCTCATACCTGCTCCACCCTACCCTGCTCCCCATCTCACTTCCTGCTGAACGACATCAAAACAGACAGAAAGGAACAGGAAGTTACCAGATGTTAAGGCTTCTGTCTTTTCCTCTTCTTGAGAGTCCTTTCCAACCCAGACGTATACCTGTACATTCAACATGAAGGAAGATACGTTACATACAGGGAAGGGCAGCCACCAAGGTTGGAGCTGATGAGGGAGAGTGGATGCTATCCTTTCAAATATCATTTTCCTTTGCACTTGGGTCTGGGCTGAGTCCTCGATCTTGGAAGCATAGATGGCTCTGTGTCCCTATTTCAAGTGGGGTCTCTTAGGCTGAATAGTCTGTGGGAGGACCAGCTGAAGGTTGTGCCACAAGAAGGAAGGTGGGGATGCAGCATGGAAAGCTGCCACTAGGGCAAGGTGGTCTGGATCTTGTCCCAGGGAGCAAAAGCTTAAAGGATGCTACTAGTACACGTAGTTCTTCAGTAGCTGGAAAGCTGTCTAACCCTTCAATTCCTCCCTACACAACCCCACCTCCAGAAGAACAGAACATCATGAGAGCCCAGAGACAGTTACTGTATAGGCTTGTCCAAAGGACTCAGAGCAAGGGCCTCACTGCAGGCCTGGTAAAGGAAAGTTAAATCTCACCATGTCCTTAGACTAACCTTGGGGGGAAAAAAGTGCACTTCGTGTGCTATAGCTTCTCCCAGGCAATTAAGCACAGTAGAGGCACCATTCCTTTGGGAAGGATGGGGCCCAGGTAGCTAGGCTAGCTCTTCTTCTATCTATCTTCCCTCCCTCCCTTCTCCTCCTCTCCATCTTGCAGACCTGATCCCAGGTGTCCAAGAGCATGACATCATCTGTAGCCAGATCTTCTTGCATAAATTCCCCAGGAACCTCTTCAATCTGGAAAGAAGCAGGAAGGATTAATGAAAGAAAAGAGAAAAAAAAAAGAAATCCCTTCCCTTCTCCAGGCTCTAGCCATTCAGAATCATCTAAAGATACTCATATGCCATAGGCACTATAGGGGCAAAATCTCCACCTTCTAAATAAGGAAGCTGAATCTCAGTGATATTAAATGCTTTGAATAGCAACATACGGCCAGTAAAAAGACGGAACCAGGAATCAACTCAAGAATTTCTCACTCCTAGTCCAGTGATTTTCCCACAACATACAGCTGCTGGCCCATACCCCTTCCTTTGCTAAATAGTTGGTGGGAGGAGGCTCTTAGCCTAGTCCAGTCTGAGGAGTGACGTCTCATCTCTCTTTCTCCCCATCTCCCTATTCTCCCTGCACAAAGTGATGAGTATTCAAGTCAAATGGGAATAAGGAGTGCATTCAGTAACTTCCCTGGGGAAGCCTTTCCCATGGCAGCATAGTGAAAGCAGGTCTCCCTCCCCACTCAGAGCAAGATGTAAAAACCTCAAACTGCAGAAAGGCTTTCCCAGCTGTCAAGGATGCATAATGCTGGAGTAAACCTTTCATTTCAATTTTTTTGAATGGCATCAATTTCTTCAGGGTTACTCCTTACTAATAATAATAACTAGCACTAACAGAGTGTTTAAAAGCTTGCACTTTACATATGTTATCTCATGCATCCCATCAACCCTGGGAGACAAGTGCTAGGATTACCCCCCTTTTACAGATGAGGAAATTGAGATTGTAAGAGGTTGAGTGACTTGTTCAGAGTCAGATAACTAATGAAGTGTTTGAGGTGTGGTTTGAACTTAAATCAAGCTCTGCAATACCCAGCTGCCATGGGTGCCATGTAATGCTGGGAGAGACATCAAAGCCAATGTGGGTGGTGCCACATACCCACATAAAGTGAGTTATCTCAGCAAGTGGGAAGAGTAACCAATATCCTTACCATCGGGAGTCAATCCACCATATCTGTGTTTTGGGTTTATTTGCTTTTGGCATGGGCCTGTAATTTCATTGGAACTCCCGATGAAGAGACTCCTGCTACACACCATGCACTGTCCTGCAACTTACAGCCTTAGAAATTTGCCCAGGGCATTAAGAGGTTAAGTGTCTTGTGTCAGAGGCAAGATTTGAACCCAGTTCCTCCCGACTCTGAGGCCAGCTCTCTTTCCATTCTGCCAAGGCTGTCTTTCAATCTGTTGTGTTTTAGTGATGATGCAGAAGGCAGTCCCTCCTGTCATCAGGGATCTCCTTGTGTCCCCAGGGTTTTGATCTCCATAAGCCTATTATAAGCCTTTACCAGACCAACGAGAATCATACGTTTGTAATGATTTTATATCCAAATCAACCAAAAAAAGTATTTTTGCTCCCACTGTACCCAGAGAGGCTTTAATGGTCTTCTCAGGGATCATATAATTAAGAAAGGATAGGCCTATTTTTGCCCTGTGAATCTGTCTCAGATGATGAATATGCAGAGGGGACCTCCTGCACCCTCTGCCTACACAAGGGAAAACAACATTTGTGTAAACTTGATCAAATTAACATCTTACATTCATGGTCCAAACTGGCCCCACACTTTTGGTCCTTTCTCTGAGAGGGGAAAGCAGAAAGAGGGAGACAGCTTCAGACCTATTTTCTTGAACTCACCACAAAGCGACCAATCTTGTTGGAGCAGGCAAAGAGACGAGGGGGGTGGACGTCCAGCTTCTTGTCCTTCAGCCGTGGAGATGTGCGGTACGCAGCCTTCCCGCCCAGGGCTTCCCAGAAGCTATCTGTGTGGGACATACAAACAAATGGCTGCTGTCTTCTTGGCTTCCTCTGTGAATATATTTTACGAGCTTTGGGTCTCATTACTCCTAAAGGAAGAATCCTTATTCCACTGGTCAAACCAACTGTTCCTTAGGCCTCCCTCTTCCCCTAAACATGGCCCCATTAATTCTTGTCTTTCATAGCTAGGCCAAAAAGAAAGCCTCTAGGGGCAGCTAGGTGGTGCAGTGGATAGAACACTGGCCCTGGAGTCAGGAGGACCTGAGTTCAAATGCGGCCTCAGACACATGACACTCACTAGCTGTGCGACCCTGGGCAAGTCACTTAACCCCAATTGCCTCACCAAAAAAAAAAAGAAGGCAACTAGAGATTTGGGGGCAGCTAGGTGGCGCAGTCGATAGAGCACCAGCCCTGAAGTCAGGAGGACCTAAGCTCAAATCTGGCCTCAGACCAAACACTTGACACTAGCTGTGTGACCCTGGGCAAGTCACTTAACCCCATTGCCTAGAAAAAAAAAAAAACAACCAAACAAAAAGAAAGCCTCTGAATTATGACCCTGGAAGTTACTAAATGGTAATACCCCCAACCCAACAATACTACTACTAGGCCTACACCTCAAAGAGATCAGAAAAAAAGGACCCATATGTACAAAAATATTTATATGAACCCCTTTTGTGGTAGCAAAAAATTGGAAATGAAGGGGTTGCCCAGAATTGGGAAATGGTTGAAGAGATTATGGTATAAGCAGTAGGGTGTTGGAGCTACAAGCTGGTTCCAACTGATAGAAAGACCAAAGTATTGAATTTTCAGTGTGAACATTTACACCCCAGAAATTTACAAATGCTACGAATCAGGGCTTGCTTGATTTTTGTTGTTATTGTGACTGTCTAGACTTAAGAAAGTGATGGATAAAAATGGTAATGATTCATATTAAACTTAAAAGTGTGTTGTGGGCCCTTTTTTTTTTCAGGAAATCTATTGTTAACCATTCACCAGCATATTCTTGGGTATACGAATGCAATGGACTATTAATAAGTCATAAGAAATGACAAAAGGGACAATTTTAAACAAACTTGGGAAAATTTGAATGAAATGAATAGAATCAGAAGAATTTACTCAATAACAACACTATAAAGACCAGAAACTTTGGAAGAATTAAGAACTCTAACACAATGAATAACTACCATTCCAGAGGACTGATGATGAAAACGCTGCCCACTTCCTTACAGACAGGTAATGGTTGGACTCAAGGTGCAGAATGAGATACATATGTTTGAACATGGCCAATGTGGGATTTGTTTCACTTGACTGCATTACAATGATTTTCTTTTTTCTGTAATATTTTCATTAGCGGGAAAAGGAAAATACTTGCTTGTTAATTGAAAAAAGAAAATATTTTTTAAAAAAGTAAGACTTTCTACAACTAACCCCTTTGCACAAGACAATCCTCTCACTAAGGACAGCCCTGGGACACCCTCCTCTGACCCTCCTCTTCTCCAGTCTATCAAAATTTGACCCAAGCTTCAAGGACCAGTTGGGGTCTCACCTCCTCCAAGAGACCTTCCCTGGTTACTGCAGCCCAAGCTGATCTCTCTCCCACCTCCAGATTCCTACAACTCTTAAATCGTGTGGCACTCACTGAAGACTCAGCGCATAAAAACTCATACTTTTTTGGTGATTATAATTATTCAAAGCATTTTCCTTACAACACTACTGAGTTCGGGTGCAAGCATTATCCCCATGTTAAAGATAAAGGAGCTTGTGGTTCTAAGAGGTTGTCATTTGCCTACAATCTGGCATCCAGTAAAGGTCAGAGACAGGATTTGAATTCAGGTCTCTTGTGAGAGTACTGCACCACACCGCAAATGCTGTTTCATGTGAACCATCAGTCATTAAGCATTTATCAAGCACCTCCTATGTGCCAGGCTCTGTACTAAATCTGCCTCCCAACCAGTCTGTAAGCTGCCTGTGGGCAGGGACTCTTGTCATCTCTTCTTGTAGTCCTCAAAGCACCTAGAGCAGGGCTGAGCCCACTGCAGTCACTCACCAAAGTTGAAAGGGAGGACAGTTTATTCTGGAGAAAGAGGAAGGGATGAAATGAACTCTAGAGGGCCCTCTCTTCCTCAGCTGGAATAAGGGGTGAGTCAGTGAATTGTAAAGGGCTGGTTAACCCTGATGGCCAAGGCAGGCGTCCCTGTGCCCAAGACTGTCCTCTCCCTCAGGGCTAGGTCTGCCTTGTGCCTGAGCAGGACAGTTCAGCAAAGGTGAGAGGTAAGCACCCACCAGGTATTTGCTCAGAAGGACATCCCAAGCCCACGTCCACACCAGGCCCATCCCTCGTGGTCCCCACCTGGCTCACTACCCTCAGCCACTTGCACAGGCCGAGCCTTCAGCACGTTCAGCAGTTCCCGGGCCCCAGACTTCTCTGTGTCACTGGCTCCTTCACCCACCCACAGGTAGGCAGATGATGGAGTTTTCAGGACAAAGGCATCGTTGGAGTTCAGCTCACTTGCAGCCGGGTTCACCTGGGGGAAAAGTAGGGGACCCCCCCCAAGGGAAATAATTCCATGTAGTAATAACCAGATTAAAAACCATCCTGAATCCCCAGGTGCTTTCCCCACAAGCCCCACTCACAGTGAGGGGGAAGAGTTCTAAAACACTGGACAAAGCAAGTTCTTCTAGGCCCAGGAAGATGAACTAGACAATCATTAGAATATTTATAAAAATGGGGCTGAAATAATATTAGAGAGGCAGGAAAGTGTCATGAGTTGGGAGTGAGAGGACTGGAGTTTCATCCCAGTTCAGCCAACTACCACCTTTGTGACCACTGGGCCCGAGTTTCCTCATCTAGGAAAGGGGAAAGCTGGACTAGAGGATCCGCAAGGTCCCTTCTAGCTCTGAAATCCCACGATTCTTTCTCAGGCCACAAGTCTCCCACTCTGTATGAAGGATCAAGGGATTCTGCTCCTATTCTGAAGGAGGGTTCACTCAGCAATGACACTGAGGCTGGTTCCCTGGTCACCTCCCTATGTTCTATTCCTTGGGGTTTGCCTTTCTTCTAGAAGGGGGAAGAGTAGAATCATAACATTTATTGTTGGAAGGGATGCCTTAAGAGGCATCTGGGAGCAGCCTGAATGTCCAGATCATATGACCTGGCCAAAGCCTCCCAATGCAAGCTCAGGTCAGGTTCGTGCTCAAGGACGCTGACCCTGACAAGGTAGTTTTAACAACAGCTTTTCTTATAATAACCCTATTAAGTAGAGAGCAGAGGTTTGGTTCCCATTTTGCAGGTGAGGAGCCTGAGGCCCAGCAAAGTGAAGTGTCTTGTGTAAGGTCACACAGCTAGGGTCTCATGGCAGTTCAGGTCTCAGGACTCAAAATCCCTTGGCCTTTCCACTGCATTTTGCAACCTTGTAGTGGCCTGGCTCTCACAGTGGGGTTCCTCCTGCTAACATGAAAGGGAGGATTTAGATGTGCAGCTCTCCCTCGGACCCAGCTAGGCCTCAACGCCTCAGGGAGGACCAGCTCTGCTTTCCATTTCTGCAGTCACTTCAAAGTCTTGTCCACAGCAGGTCAGAGTATCATTGCATAGGCTCATGGCCAGAGCCACTCTCTCTGTGGTGTTCTGGAGGGGGAGGTTTGGCTACAAGCCCTTGACTCACCCCCCTCAGTCTGATCGCCTGAGCCTGCTTCCAACCCCAGACTAGGAGAAGATGTAGGAGTTACCTCCACGGCCCTGGTGGCTCCGGAGCTGCTGGAACGGACCTGGAAGAGGCGGGTGCTAGCGGGGACCGTCTGCCCACCCTCTCTAGAGGTGCCGCCTTTGTAGATGATCATAGGCTTACCGCCAAATAGGCTCATCAGGTGGGCAGGCTCTTTGCCCTGAACAACTCGGCTCTAGGAAAAGGCAGCGAAGACAGGGTGTCAGAGCAGCAGTCAGAAGAGGGGCCTGGGGTGGGGATGGGGGGATGTCATCCTGTTCTTCCTGCCCCCTCCAAGGATCCTCCAGACTCTTCCCCCACCAAACTCGGGGAAAATAAAAAAGTATGTTTGCGTGTGCGTTGTGTGTATGTCTACATATGTTACATGAATTCTGTGATATGGATATGCTTGTGTCTGCTAATATATGCATATAGCATGTGTGTATACTATATATACACATGCATGTTGTATGAAGTGTGTAATGCACGTTATATGCTAGAAGTCTATATGAGGGAAGAATACACACTGCACAGAATATTCATGCAGTGTACTGTAAAACATTATCAAGTAAATGTTTGTATGTGTACATGTACGTATATGTGCATGCCATGGTGCCTATGCACAACTCCTTACAAATACCATACACACATACATATCCTTAAAATACTGTAATGCACATATATGTACATACCCATATATGCATATTTATACAGCATGTGGACATTACCAACTGGTTACACATATGTATGCATGTGGAGAAGCATGAACAGATACAAACATGCATACAATGTGGATAGGCAGTAGTACTGCAGGTAAGCATGTGTATGTATACATGTTTAGACACACACTTATGTGTAAATAGCATTCATGCATGTACATGTATTGTGGTCGGAGATCCAGGGCAGTTGAGCGTCGGCTTAAAGACAACTGATTGTGAGAGGCAATGGGATTTCGCAACCCCCACCCAGTACGCTGCAGTCTACTCATATCTTTCCCTTTCCCTTTCCAAGGCACAGAAGATGTCCTGGGATTGTTGGGGGGAGGGATGCTATGCCATAGCTAGACAGCTGCAAATGTCTCCCAGGGGCATCCTTGTATACCCTCCAGCTCTACCAACACAGAGCAAGCATCACACAATGGACCTCTCCACCCTTGAGTAGGGCATCAGTTTCCTTTAGCTGGTGCACAGGAGGACCTAGCTCTTGAGACCGAGTATGGCCAAGATTTAGAAGTGAAAGGCTACTCATTGATACCATTCATGTGGGGTGGAGGGGAGGTATGTTACCTGCACTGGAGTACCACCTAATTCCTCATCCAGCTGTACTGTAAGGATGGCAGCTGTGGCACGTTCATCCTGGCTAGAATCAGCTCCCTGCCTACGATAACAAGAATCATCAGCATCAGTATCAGCATCAGCATCAGTATCCTCATTACAGAGGTGGCAAATATAATAGAAAGAACATTGGCCTTGTAGTCAGGAGGCCTGGGTTTACAGTCTAGTCCTATCACTAAATGACTGCGACCTGAAGACAAATCACTTCATTTCTCTGGGCCTCACTTTTCTCATCTGTAAAATGGAAATCATAATTAATAAACTCCCTACCTCTCAGGCTTGTCATGAGGAAAGCACAGTATATATGTGAGTTATTATAATCATTGCCACTTTCCATTTTCATGTTTTGCAGAGCCCTGTCTTATTCATTATCTCAACTCATCTACACATGGTCTTTCAGAGTCAGGCACATAATCCCCACTTTACAGATGAGCAAATTGAAACTCAAAGAAGGGGACCATCTCACTTAAGATCATACAGTGAGTTTAGGGATGGGTTGGGCTGAAACCAAGGCTTCTGACTGACATGGGGGTTCTCAGTCCCCCCACATGCAAATCCTTCTGGAGCTCATGCTTTCCTGGAGGATATTAGTCTGGACTCAGAAGGCCACCAAAAAAGGAAAGGGAAGAAGGATATAGAAAGAATCCTGAAAGTGTGGTGGACAGAGCCCTGAACTTAGGCACAAGAAGACTGAGGCTGGAATCCTGGCTAACACATTTACTGCCTGTGTTCCTGTTGGCAAGTTATTTAACTGCTCTGGACCTCAGTTTCCTCATCTGTAAAATGAAGGAGTCAGACTCAATGGTCTCTAAGGTCCCTTCCAGCTCTAAATTTCAGATCTTTTGAGTCTTCACTCTCCAGCAGTGGTTTGGAATGAGCAGCCACTGTACAGTTCTTGCACAAAGGCCATCATCCCATCCCTAAGATGAAGATCTGGAAGTCTCAACAGCACAAAACCATAATATCTGGGGCTAGAAGGGTTCCTAGAGAGCACATAGGCCAACTTTCTCATCTTATAGGAACCCTTAGTGTAGTGGATCGAGAGCTGGGCCTGAAGGAAGATCAGAGTTCAGATCCAGCTTTAAACGCTTACTAGATGTGTGATGCTGCCTAAGTCAATGAATCTCTGTTTCAGTTTCCTCATCTGTAAAATGTGGATAATAATAGCATCTACTTCCCAGGGTTGTTATGGGAATAAAATATATGTAAAGCACTTTGCAAACCTTGAAGCACCATATAGATTCTAGCTATTATTATTGTTGTTATTATTATGTTGCCCCAGTAATCTATAAGGAATTGTATCCTTTTTTTTTGTCTCAGAACTCTGAGTAAGTATATGGCAGTAGGAACCCCAGGCTCTGCTGTCCCAGGAAACCTCAAATGAAAGGACAATAATAAGGTCCAGTCATCACAGACCATCATGATCTAAACCTGGAAGGAAGCATCTGATCCAACGCCTCTCATTTCAGATAGGAAAACCAGAGTCCAGAATGGGGAAGCAGTCTGCCAAAGTCTGGGGCAGAGGTGGGAACTAAAACCCAGACTTCTTATCTCTCAGGGTCAGCCAGATGTCCCTTCCACTCTATCTCACTACCTCTCAGTTCCACCAGTAGTGCCGATTGACCAAGTGCCCAGCTGAGAGTCCTCCCAAATGATAGTCGTCCTGGCCCATCTTCCCACATCAGGATGCTTACCAGTTATAGATGATTTGTCCCTGTCGGCCTGCGTGCTGATAGTTGTACAGAATGATGTAGCTGTCACCACCATAGAACTGGCCATAAGTGGAGGGGTTCACTGGAACTTTGTCAGCACCTTCAACTCTCCAGATCTGCCAAGGCAATGAGACAGTCAGCGACATGCACAATGCAGGCCACCTGGGAGATGGGTTAGGGGGAAGTTGAGGCTTTCTAGTGATACAGTGGAAAGAGTGCTAGACTTAAAATCTAGATCTGGGTTCAAATGCACACATTCTAGTGAAGTAGCCTTAAGCTGAGCGCAGCTCTTCTTAGGGCCTCACTTTCCTCATCTGTAAAATGAGAGGGTTTGACTCAATAATTGGAAGGGTCCTATTCTGACATTTTGTGGATCTGTGACCTTGGGCAAGTTGCTTCCTCTCTCAGAGCCTCAGTTTCTACAAATAGCTCAACTTAGGCAGACTAGACTAGAAATGTCCAACACATGGCCCATAGACCACATGGGGCCCACAACACTCTTGAACACAGCCCAAACCAGATTAAAATGTTACAAGGTAATATTTAACAAAATGAAAACATAGATAATATTACATTTTAAAAGTCAATATGTGGTCTGCAGGGATGGATTGGTGGCCCCATTTCTGTTTGAGTTTGATACCCCTGGACTAAACTGTCATTCTCTGAAGGGTCATTTACAACATCTTCCTCCGCCAATTACTGTGCCCTAGGCACAGTGTTGAAAGGGGATGGACTGGTTGAATTTAGGATAATTTGCTCTGGTTTCCCCATTAAGATACTAGGATTCTGTATTTATGACACCCACCAGCTACTCCCAAAGGGGCTGCCACAAAGCCTTCTAAATTTGTTGGCTGTCCTACATCGCCCTCTGGTGGCGCTATGGGAACAATGACACTTCAACACGATGGCCTTTCAAATGAAATCTTAGAATATTACCACTGGAACCAACCTCAGAGAACATTTAGTCCAGACAGCTCACCTTACAGATGTGGAAACTGAGTCCCAGAGAAGGGAAAGTGCTTTGAAATAATGTGGTGTAGGGTAAAGAGCACTGGATTTGGGGTGAAAAGACCTGAGCCCAAATACCTACCGCCCCTTAAGTCTACATAGCCTTAACCAAGTTGTTTCCTCTTTCTGGGCCTCAGTTTCCCCATCAAAGATACAAAAAAGAGTATTAATAACTTCATCCAAATGTTATAGAAGCAAATGAGATGCACATGTAGAAGGGTTTGTAAACTACTGAGTTCAACATAAACGTTAGTTTTTATCATCATTATTGGCCAAGGTTACCCAGCGAATCAGTAGCTCGGCGGGGAGGAGAAATCAGGTCTCCCGACCTTGTTCCCTATACCAGGTTGCAGGATTCCAACTACAAAAAATCAAAAAACTACTCTGGGGAAGGAATGAAGCCGATTAGAAACTTTCAACAATTGAATCTGACTCAAAGTCTCCAAGTCCTTACTCTAAAGGACAGTGGAGTGCAATGTCAAGACTACTACACTGGGCAGGATGCCCATCAATTGGGGAATGGCTGAACAAGTTGTGGGATATGAATGTAATGGAATACTATTGTGCTATAAGAAATGATGCACAGGCAAATTTCAGAAAAACCTGGAAAGACTTGAATGGTCTGATGCTGAGTGAAGTGAGCAGAACCAAGAGAACATTGTACACAGAAGCAGCCACATTGTGCGACGACTAATATTGATAAACTTAACCCTTCCCAGCAATGCAAGGATCTAAGACATCTCCAAAGGCCTCATGATGGAAAATGCTATCCACATCCAGAGAAAGAATGATAGAGTTTGAATGCAGATGGAAGCATACTATTTGCTATATTTTTTTCTCTTCTGTTGAGTTTTGTTTCCTCTTTCTGGTGGTTCCTCCTATTGGTTCTAATTCTTATTTACAATATCACTAATGTGAAAGTATGTTTAATAAGAATGTAAAAAAAAAAAAAAGACTGCTACACTGGAAGTCAGAAGCCTCACATTTGAGACCTGCCTGTGCTATTTCCTAGCTGTGTGTCCTGAAGCAAAACATTACACCTCTCTGATGTTCAGTCTTCTCATCTATAAGATAGTCATCTCACAAATGAAAACACTGCAAGCTTTAAAATCATGAGTGTTAAGCCCTTGGTTACAATGAAATTGCTGTGTACCAAAAGGTACACCAGGTCAGCTAGGTGGAGCAGCGGATGGTGCTCTGGACTTAGAGTGCCAAAGACCTGAGTCTGAGTCTAGCCTCAGACCCTTACTAGATGTCATTTAACTTCTGTCTGCCTCAGTTTCCTCATCTGTAAATGAGAATAATACAGCACCTATCTCCTAGGATTATTGAGAGGATAAAATGAGATAATATTTATAAATTGATTTGAAAATTTTAAAGTGCCATACAAATGCAAGCTATTATTGTTGTTGTTATTGTAAAGTATCTTATAATAAAATTATAGATCTAGATCTATTTCCCTAATATACCTAGAGTCTGCAAGACCAATGTGTTTCAATGGAAAGAGTATAGGATTTGGAATTGGGAGCACTCCCTCCTCCCTCCTCTCCACCCCACCACCAATGCTTCCATCAACAGGATACCTGCTTCTGGCCAGTGCCATCATCTTCCATGCCATGCTGGGCAGCCATAGCAGTGGAGTTGTGCAGAGTGGCAGCATCAAAAGGCACCCGCTCAACATTGGCGATGTGGCTGGAAATATAGGCCACTCCCAGGCCCTGGGTCTGATCCCGATCCCTCCAGTTCTTGAAAAACTGCGTGAACAGTGGGGTCTCACCACCTTCTGGGAGGACTTGGATCTGGGGAAGAAGGAGGCATAACATAGGAAGATGAAGGGGTTACTGTATTCCCAGGACCCCTTAGGGTTCCAAGAGAACTGAACTGAGTTTACGTTTAAGAATCAATGCACTCTGCAAAGTGAAATGAACAGAACCAGGAAAACATTAACAGGAAACACTATGAATGACTTAGCTCTTCTCAGCAATGTAATGATCCAAGACAATTACAAAGGACTCATGATGGAAAATGCTATCCACATCCAGATAAAAAACCAAGTGACTCTAAATGCAAATTGAAGCATACTATTTTCACTTTATTTTTTTTGTGTGTTTTTTTCCTTTTGATCTGTTTTTTTCTTTCATAACTATGACTAACATGGAAATATGTTTTACATGATTGCACATATATAACCTATATCAAGTGGCTTACCATTTTAGGAAGAAGTGAGGGGAGGGAGGAAGGGAGGGAGAAAAAGTGGGAACTCAAATTCTTGTAAAAATGAATGCTAAAAATTGTCTTTACATTTAATTGAAAAAAATACTATTAAAAATCAATGAACTCCTCTTTACAGAAATAGGGTACTCTAGGTATGAAATAGTACATATACTATCAGGCATAACTGATGTGTTGATTGGTTTTGCTGAACTGTTTTTTCCCCTTTTTTTTAATTTTTGTTAGAAGTGATGGATCAGTGGGTAGGTGAATGGGGGCAGGGAGATATTTACGGAAATGAAGGTTTCATGAAAACAAAAGATATCAATAAGAACAAGATTATTTTAAAAAAAAGAATCAATGAATTCAACCTGAAGATGCCCTGGATCAGATATAAAAATACTTATACGTGTATATGCTATTTCCTCCTATAGAACATAAGCTCATAAAGACCATGGACCATTTCCTTTTTGCCCCAGTGACACAGTGCCTAGCACATTATTACATGCATAATAAATTCTTGGTTCATAACTGATTGAATCATTGATCAACTTGGTACCTAGAAACCCTAGAACCCAATTTTGTGGTTGGACAGGGGACACAGACTCCAGAAATTTAGAGGAGGTTCACAGAAGGTCAAAACTAGAACAATAAAATTCTGAATTCATTTAAAAGAAAATGTATTGTCGACTGCATGCCATACACTATGTTAGGCCTTGGGGGAGATTAAAAAAAAGTTTAGAGAAGGCATCTTCCCTGCCCTCATCGAGTTCACATCTAGTAGAATACATATAGATTTACATCTAGTAGAATATATATATATATGTATGTGTGTGTGTGTATGTATGTATCTTTAATTCTAGGTGTGCATATTTTATATATACACATGGATACATATGTATATAGAACCATACACAGAGAAAATTACAGTCCTCCTCTGATGTCTCATTGAGTCTTGTTGGTGACCCTGAGCTCCCAAAGGCTAGCTGCCTTCAGAATGCAAGCTCTGGGGACCCTACCAAGCTAGAAAAGCTTCAAGGGCAGGCCTGGAAACAGACTATGATCTTGTCATCCAAAGACCAGTCTATTTCAATGTCAAAAGGCTCATCACAATTCAGGATAGAGGGTTTGGAGGAAGGACCCACCTTGATGATACTACAATATAAGTTAGTGGCATTTCTTCACCTATTATATTAGCAGTTCACTGAGGATAGAGACCATGCCTTACACTTCCCTTTAGGTGCTAGGCACTTGGCAGTTATCCTCTAACTCAGTTGGTTACCTTGACTGATCTGCCCTCCTTTTCCATTTGCTGATGCTATCCCAGGACAGCCTCCCCCCAGGGTTTTTCTATTCCTTTCTCCATTTTACTGGTCCAGGCCATGGGGCACAGGGCTAAGCACCCCATGCTTGAACTGCTCCCCCCAGACACAAAGGCCTCAGCCTCTCACCTGAGTTTGCTTGGGGTAGCTCATCTTGGAGATGAAGTCAGAGGCACTTTTGAGAGCAGCCTTCCTCTCCTCTGCATTCGCCTGTTTGCCTGTGGGTGAGTTGAGGGAACCAATCAAATTGGGAGATTCCAACGGAAAAAACTTCCTGCCTGACTACCCTGGAACCCCAATGGGGAAGCTCAGCTCACAGACATAGCTCTGAGGTTCCAAGGGAACCCTGGACCTTCCTGACAACCAGTAGCATCCAGAACCCCAAGAGAAGAGATCTCTGCTCTCCTGAGATATTCGTTACGTGGGTCTGCAGCCAGATATAGCTGAGTCTCAGATTGCTCTAATGTCTCCCAGAAGGAATAAGTCCCAGGGAATCAGGCCCTCTGAGCTCCAAATAACAGGTTCACTTTCCCCATCCTCATCTGTATATTCATAGTTAACTTCCCTAATTCTTCTCTCTCTCAACAGGAGGTCACTCTGCACTCCCCTGACAATTGCTGGACCAAGCGGTTTTATTCTACCACACAGTCCCGGGTCTGGCCTCTTGGGGACCAGATCCAACTGACAGAGGAGACCTATTCCCAGCCTTATGGGCTTGTAACCAAAGGGCAGAAATATATTCTATAGATTCCTCTTTGCACAATGGAATCACAGGCTCATAGATCTATTAACTGGAAAGAACTTCAAAGTCCTACTAACTCAGTCCCTTAATTTTACAGATGAGGAAATTGAGACCTAAACAGGTTAAGTGACTTGCCCAAGGTCACACAGGTAAACATCAGAAACAGGATTTGAACCTAGGTCTCCTGACTCCAAAATCAATGTTCTTTTCACTGTACCATGCTACCTCTCCAGGAGTCTCCAGAAAGAGTGGTTTGTAGTCCTAATAAGAAAAGGGTTTCCACTCATGCTTCCATCCCTGTGCCCTCTCTTTCCCAGACAGGGATAGAGCTGCCTAGAACCACAAAATTGGGAGTCTAAGTGCAAATGAGATCTGAAATCCTCCCCACCCTAACCCTCATTTCTAGGGCACCTTTCCAGACAAAGATCTTTCCATTTGTGCCATGGTCCAGGATAAAACAGTCATCAGAGCTCAGGGCTGCCTGAGTGAAGGGGTTCTCATCAGCCACCAAGGACACAGTCATAGTCCCAGCACCATTGGAAACCTGTTAGGGAAGAGAGCAGGGCAGAGTCAGCATCTGCCTGCCCAGCCCTTAGAAAGGGCTCTAGGCTTTCTCCCTGATACAGCAGAAGTCCTACATTCACACTTGGGGATTATCTCACTCCCAGATTCAATGGAGTCAGATTCAGAAGCAGGGCCCAAATTCCAAAGTTACCACCCTCTCTCTCTAGCTGCCTCCAAATGGGACCAAAGCACCTAGACAGTGGCATTTGTCCTCCAAGTGTTTCAATAGTATGTTGAAACTTCCAAAGACACTTTTTGGGTTATTATATCTTTTCATTTTCACAATATACCAGTAGTCAAAGCAAGAGTTGTTTATTTTCTCTAACTGGGGAGATGAGAGAACTGAGATTTTGAGAGAGGGGAAGTAATCTGTCCAAAGTCCCACAAAGAATTAGTGGCAAAGCCATGACAAGAACCCATATCCCTTGATTCTTAGAGTCTGATGTTTATTTCTCTACACTGCACTGTTTAAGCCCAGGGGTGTTCCTGATTGCCATACTCTATATTTGGAGTGGAACATCTGGCAAAAGATACAGAGGCCAAGACCTTGGTCAGGATCCAGTCTGAGAAGACTGCAAGTTGAACTAGCAGTGACTCTCCCTTGACTCCTCCCTATCCCCACAAGGCTCCACCTGCTTGGGCCACTTTTCATGCTAAGCCCACATCAGCCAGATCCCTTATCCCAGCTATTTCTCCATACCTTGTAATAATAATAACAAGATGATGTTTATACAGTTCTTAAGCTTTAGAAAGTATTTTCTATCCATGGCTTCATTTGGCCCTCACAATAACCGCAGGGAGTGGGCAGAGTTCACAGATGACAAATATGAGGCTTAGGATTAAGAAGTTAAGTGACCAACCAATGGTCACACAACTAGAAAGAAGCAGAGCCAGACTTCAAGCCCAATGACTTTGGCTCCAAATTCAGGGTTCTTTCAACTACACTATGCTGCCTACCTTGTAGAGCTTAGCAAGTCTTCGATTGGTTGCATCCTCCTTGGCAGAGTCATCCTGACCTTCAGGCAGAGTGGGCTTGGGCCCCAGGACCTAGCAGGGATGTAGAGAGGGAAATCTAAGCCTGTGGGCACAGACCAACAATGTGAGAGGCGTCCAGTCATCTGCCCCTCCAAGTGTGGATGGCCTGTGGTCCTAAGATGGAACAGCCTGAATTGGACAGAACTAAGAGAGGTGAGTACAAGATTACAAAGAAGAAGAGAGATGCAAGGAAAAAGTTCTTAACCATCAGAGCCACCCCATAGCAGATGGGACTGTCTTAGGAGGTTGGGAGTTTGATATTGCCAAAGGATTTCAAAAGGAAGCTAGGAGATCACGTGTCAGGGATAATCCTCTAAGGCCCTCGCCAACTCTGAATTTTTTTCCCCCAAAGCCTCTTTTCTCCATGGTGATCCTGGTCCCTCCCCTTGCTAGATCACAGACTGATCACAAGCAGCCACATCTCTGGATTCTTTTCTGTTTGGACATTAGACAACAAAGCCAGGCACATTAAGGGGCCATTGAGTATATACTTCACAGGGCTCTGACACACTGGTCTTGCCTTTATGAGAGGGAAAAAGCAACAGGGCCCTAAAGCACCAGACACAGCCCCAAGGCCTGGTCTCCTCGGGAAAGGAATCATTTTAGGGAGCTTGTCCCACCCTACTAGTCAAGACATCTAACTGATGTCCCCACAGAGCAGTACACCCAAAAGGTGAGACCCATAGTCCAGCATGTACCAAAACATAGGTGGGTTTCTAGTCAGTTGTCCTAAAAAAACTGCACACCTTTAGGAGAAACTATAGGAAGAAGCCAAAATGCTTAATAGAGATAGTCCCTGGGAATTTTGGTTCCTCGACAATGACACCTTTCACAGGGACATAAGCTAAAAGGCAATGTTAAACCAGCCCTCCCCAACCCCACAAGGGTAGAGTCATAACAGCTGCCTCACTATGGCTCAAATAACAAAAAGGGAGGCTCACCTGGAGCATCCTCTCAGGCTCAGCTCCCTCCTCTAAAACGTACACCTTGGCCCGGCCACTCCGCTCATTGTCTCGGATGCCCTTGGACACCTGAGTGGCCTTGAGTCGCTCAAAACTGTTGCTTCTAGTGCCACACCACTGGTAGATGTCCTGCAAGGCACAGACCAAACATATGCCTCACAATCAGATTCCCCAAACCCAGGTACAGAAGCAGGAGAAGTTAGTTGTGCCAACCTTCTCTCCACGGTCTCAAGAGCAAGAAAGCAAAACAAGTTATGTGCGAACATACACAAAGAGGTGCATGCATTCACATACCTAGGCACATCCTTATACTGTGCAAGCAGAAGGGGCACATATTATATCTGTTTTCATGAAGATATAATAGGCACTTTCAGAAAAACCTAGGAAGACTTACATGAACTGATGCAAAGTAAAATGAGCAGAAACAGGAGAACATTGTACACAGTAACAGCAATATTGTATAATGATCAACTGTGAATGAATTAGCAATTTTCAGCAATACAAAGATCCAAGACAATTCCAAAGGATTTATGATGAAAAATGCTATCCATCTCCAGAGAAAGAACTGATGGAGTCCGAATGCAGATTAGAACATACTTTTTTTACTTTCTTTATTGTTTGTTTTTGTTTCTGGTCTGTGGTTTCTTTTGCAACATGACTAATATGGAAATGTTTTGCAAGACTACACATGTAGAATCTATATCAAATTGCTTGCTTTCTCAAGGAGGGGGACCAGGAGAGGGAGGGAGATAGAGAATTTGGAAGTCAAAATTTTAAAAAAGAGATTATTAAAAAATTTTTGTTTACATGTAATTGAAAAACAAAACAAAATAAAAATTAAATATAAAAAAGATATAATAGGCATACATCTGGGTCCAAATTTGTGTGCATGTATGAGAGGAATGCTACACATCTTTGTGTATGTCTATGCACATAATGGGCATAGGTTGGTATGTGAGTGTGTGACTGAAATCCATTTAATTTATGCAGGTCTAAGCTTGTGTTTTCTGTGTTGATCTGCATTCATAGAGGGGGGGTTTTCTCACTGGGAATTCCTCATGCCAATGAAATCACAGATCTAGCCTAAGTAGTAATGATGATGGTGCTGATGATGCTAGACATACTGGTGCAAATGTTTTTCTGTATGCATATCCATGTTCCTGGGCATGCATGGGCCTGGCAGTATGCAGGTATGCTCATGCTTATACTGATGTGAATGTGTCTGGCTCTCTGCACATGTGCCTACACAGGTGGGTGAGGATGTGGTTGTGTCCCACTCATCTGCAATAAGACCAAGCTCTAGGGTGACAGGGCCATTAGAAAAAGCTAGCTGAGAGCACATGGCACTTGTGCCACAAAATACAGGTTCCTATGGAAAGGACTCAACAAGTGATGGTGATAGAGGGAGGCAGAGAGAGCTGGGGAGGACACTTACATTTCCCAAGTCAAGGATGAAGCAGTCGCCCTTGTTGAAGCTATCCCATGAAACAGGAACCTCTGTGGCCCGGGCTGTTCGGCGCCCTTTGACCTGGAACAGTCTCTGCACAACTACCTCGTTGGGAACCACGTGCTTGAAGCCAGAGGCCACACCGCCTTTCTGTAAGGTAGAAGGGAAGCAGGAAGAGCATTACTTCTAGGGTTAGCAGGGAGAAATATAGAAAGCCAAGGGGAACTGAACAGAAGAGTCTGCTGCTTCCACTGTCTTTTTTACCCCAAAATTCTCCCTTAAGAATTCTCCTTCCATCCATTATGAAATGTTAGAAATGCAATCCATCTGCCTCACTACACTTACTGATTATGCAGCCTTGGGTAAGTGACTTAAACTGGTTAAGCCTTAGTTTCCTCACTTATAAAATGGGGATAATAATACTAATTGCCTCATGGGATTTTTTTGGGGGGTGAGGAAAATAGAGGGTGAGAAGGGGAAGGAAGAAAAGAAGGAAGGAAGGAAGGAAAGAAGGAAAGAAGGGAGCATGATATAACAGAAAGGACACTAGATTTAAATTCCAAAGATCTGAGTTTGGATTCCAGCTCTGCTATTATTAACTGCAATTGACCCTTGGCCATTCACTTAACCATTCTGAGCCTTAGTTTCCTCATTTGTAAAGTGAAGATACTAATCATCACACTGTTTCCTTCATAAGGATGCAACCAAAATGCTCTATAAACTTAAGTTATTGGAACTATTAATACTGTTGTGATTTGTATTGCTACTAATAAATCCTATATATCCATATAATATGGTGAATAAAATGCTGCTCAATTTGGAGTCAGAGGACCTGGGTTGAAATTGAGGCTCTTCTATTTACTCAATCAGTTATATTATATGTGCTAAGTACTAGGGATACAAACAACAAAAATGAGAGAAGCATCGTCCTCAAGGAGTTTACATTCTAATGAAGGGATACTACATGTTCATAGACAAGTGAATACAAGATATGTATACATATACATACACACATATGTATATGTATAAAATGATAAGGTGGCTGGAACAATACTTAACGGGGAATCTGGAAAGACTTGAAGAATAGGGGATTTAAACTGAAGGGAACAAGGGGTTCCAAGAAGTAGAGATGAAGAGAGAAATTATGGGGAGAAGTTTGTGCAAAGACTTAAGGCCAGGACATTGAATGTCATATACAGAAGAAAGTAAGTAGAACACTGTGTGTGTGAAGGGGAGTAATGTGTCATCAGCCCAGAAGAATAGATAGCTAGAATTATATGAAGGACTTTCAATATCATCAGAGGAGTTTGTATTTGATCCTGATTTGTAATCAGGAGCCACTGGAGGGGAAAGGAGGGTTAGATCCAAATTTCCATCATGCCAACATAATATTTTATCTTTTTGTCTCTTCTTTCTCACTCCTCCTAAACCTACTTTTCATTCTCTCCACAATCTCCAATCCCTTCGTTCCTCAGTAGTATCCTAGGTCATAATCCCTTCTCTGGCCACACTTTCCTCTCTTCCCTTAGTGAACCAGTCAATGCCTCACCAACTTTTACTCTTGAATGCCTTGTTTCCTCGGCTTATCATTAATCACACCTGGCCAAACCAAAACCTTAGATTACTACCACTATCCGCCTCCTTTATTCTTACTCATATGCTACTGAACAGAACTGCAGGAAACTACAAAATTGTTCTGAGTAGGCCCACTGCAAATTTGTTAGCTAATATCAACTGCCACAAGGCAATCTTACTACTCTACCCCAAATGAATCCTACTCACCAGAGCTGCTGTTCCCAATCTTCTCTTCTCTCCTCAATCCTCCCATAGTATCTCCTTTCCCAATCCCCTCATCCAAGGACCCCATCTCATACTTCACTTTAAAAATTGAAAACATTCAGTGAGAGCTCCCTTTTTTCTTCCTCATCTTACATCTCTTCACTTTTTCCTTCATTCTCTGATAAGAAGATGGTCCTTCTACTTGCCAAGGCCAACTCCTTTTCATGTACCCATGATCCCATTCCTTTCCATCTTTCTTAGTAGGTTGCCACTCCCTATCATCCCCACTAACTAATCTTCAATCTCTCCCAATCCATTGGTTCCTTCCTTGCTGCCCATAAACATGCCCATCTTTTTCCCATCCTTAAAAACCCTCATTATAGCCTGCCATGACTACCAGTTATCATTCTTTATCTTTCCTTCTCTTTTCAACTAAACTGAAAAATGAAGTTCAACTCATCTACATTTGGTGCCTCCACTCCCTTTCCCCTCACTCTCTTCTAAACCCTCTGTAATCTGGCATCCAATTTTATCATTCAATTGAAACGGCTCTCTCCAAAGTTACCAATAATCTCAATTGCCCAATCTAATGGGTTTTTTTTTTAATCTTTATCCTTAAAAAACAAAAACCTCTCTTCAGCATTTGAGACTATTGTTCTTTCCTCTTGGATACTCTGTATTTTCAAGACTCAGCTGTCTCTTGATTCTCCCTCCACCTGATTGTTCCTTCATAGTCTTCATACATCTTCATCTATGCCACACCCACTGACTGTAGGTATCCTTCTTTTCTCTGTACTCTCTCTTAGTGATCTCATCAGCTTCCGATGGATGTAATTATCTCTATGTAGATGATTCCCAGAACTATTTATCCAACTTGTTTCTACAGTATCTCTTGCATGTATCCCCTCATCACCCAATCAACTACAACCTTAGCCCACACCCTCATAACATCTTGCCTGGACTACTACAATAATTTTTCAATTGGACTCCTTGCTTCAAATCTCTCCCTAATCCAATCTATCCTACACACAGCTTCAGAATTAATTTTCTAACTATGTTACACTCTCTCCTCAATAAATTCCAATGATATTACCTCTATATCAAATATAGATGAAATAAAGCTCTTCTGTTTGTCATTTAAAGCTCTTTGCAACCTGACTCCTTCCTGGCTTTCTATTATTTTAACACATCATCCCCCTCTACATATTCTACGGTCCAGCCACTCTGGCCAACTTGTTATTTGTCACACACGACACTCCATTTCCTAACTCCCTTTCTTTATACTGACTGTCCCCCATACCTGGAATGCTCTCTCCCCTGACTTCCAACTCACAGAATCCATGGCTTCCTTTAAAACTCAGCTGAAGAACCACTTCCACTAAGGGGCATTTCACCGGCCCTCCCCACCCTTGCCAAGTGCTAGTCCCATTCCCTCTAAGGTTACTTTGTATCTACTCTGCATATATCCTGAATGTATCTATTTATGCTTACATTGTCTCCTTCATTAGAATGTAAGATCCTTGAGGAAAAACCGCTGGTTTTGCTTTTTCTTTCTATCTTTAGCCCTTAGCACAGTGCCTGGCACATCAAAAATAATTAATAAAAACCTGTTGATTGATATCTGGGCTTCAGTTTCCTCTTCTGCAAAATGAGGGTATTGATCTAGAGGAATTCTTAGGATCTCTCAAACTCTAATATTCTATATACCAAGCAAGGTTCCTTTCCACTCTAACATTTGATTTTCTATGTCGTATCACCTTACATTCTAAGTTCCCTTCCAGTTCTAACACTCTATGTTCTAAGGTCCCTCTCAGGTCTGCAGTCATTTGTTGAACAGGAGGTTATTAAATTAAAAACTAACTATGTGCAAGATATAGTGCTAAGTGCTAGAGAGAAAAGAGGAAAAAAATAACTCATGATCTCAAGGAGTTCACATTCCATTGATCAGGAATATGACATGTATACAGACAAAGATAATTAAAAAGTAGTCTGTGGTGGGTGCAAAGGAGAGATCCAGAAAAAATTGTTCTAAGAATATAGAGGGGAAGAGAGATCATTTGGGAGAGAGAGAGAATTAGGGAAGATTGTGTGGAAGAGGTGATGAGCTGAGCTCTTGAAGGAAGAGATTAATTCCAAAATGCAGAGGTGATAAAGGAGTGCATCATGGCCATGGCTTCCCCCAATCCAATGCACCAAGGCAAGAAACAACATGTTGATTTCAGGAACCAGCCAGTAAGACCAGCTTGGCTGGAACCAAACGTGTGAGAAAGGCAAGGTAAAATTAGGCTGGAATAATAGGTTGGAGCCAGCTTGTGAGACTGGGAAGGGCCTTAAAGGTCAAGCTTTATCCTACAGGCAACTTGGAGACAATAAAAGTTTTCTTGGCAACTCTAGATTTCTATGATTCTGTTTCTACATGGCTTAACGGCATCTTTCTCTCCCCCCTCCCTGTAGCCCAGACCAGGATACAATTGCCTCCCTTCTGTTTGTATGCAGCTCCGTGGAGCCTTTCAGAGAGGCAAGTCTTGCATCAAGTCTTGCATAATACTCTGCTCCTTCGGGATCTATAATTTATGAAGGAATCCAGCCCGGTGCCTTTTCCTACTATTGCTAGGAGAACTAAGTGACTTAAGAAGGCTTGCAAATAGCAGAAAATACAGCTCCATTTTGACCACTGCCTCCCTTGAGATGCAGGAGAAAGAGTACAGGAAGTGGGACCAGAAGATCAGAAGTCTTAACTATCATACTAACCAGCTATGTAACTTGGGGCAAGTCACTTCCACCTCCACCTCTGTGAACCTCAGTTACCTCATCTATAAAATGGTAATAATAATATGCTATCCAGTCTCACAAGTTTGTATAGAATGGATGTGGAGTGTTTGGTAGCTAAAACATTACTTTAAAGTGTAACAATTGTTTTTTCATTAAAAAAAATTAAAAAAAAAAACCCCAGACCATTTCCTAGTTCAGACTCCTCATATAATTAATAATACGTAGAATAGGGGCAGCTAGGTGGCGCAGTGGATAGAGTACCGGCCCTGGATTCAGGAGGACCTGAGTTCAAATCCGGCCTCAGACACATAACACTTACTAGCTGAGTGACCCTGGGGAAGTCACTTAATCCTATTGCCCCGCCCCCCCCAAAATAATAATATCTAGAATTTTTTCCACATCTAGGTTCTTATATTTAAGAGCAAGAAAGAACTTCAAAGCTCATTTAGTTCAAACCCTTCATTTTGAAGATGTGAAATCAAGGCCCATAAAGGTTAAGTGACTTGACCAAGGTAACATAGGAAGTAAGTAGAAGATCCAGGATTGGAAACCCCGAATCTTTCTGTTGTGCCACCATACCTCGATCTATCTTGATGACAGGTAATTTGATTAGCTATTATTCTCCTCATTTGACAGCTCTAGACACTAAAGCCCAGAACTGAGTGACTTACCTAAAGGTCACACAGCTAGCTTCTTTCTTGATTACCTCAGATCTCCTGATTTCTAGTTCACTGCCTTTTCTACTATGTTATCTCCAGATTTTCACTCTCCCTTTTGGATTCCAATTATGCCACTGTAGTTTGGGACTACAGATTTTTCTTCACTCAAGGTCTTCAGGCAGAAACTGGATGACTGACTTCTTGACATGTATGTCGTGGAGAAAATTACTGCCCAGGTAGGCAATGGATTTATCAGTCTCTGATATACTTTCAACCTTTGAGATTCTATTTGATTTCAAATGCCTTCATATTTCTGATGCCTAGTGTATATCAGATGTTTAATAAATGTTTGTTGAAATGGATTCTGCCCTCTGGAGCCAACATGAACAAATCTGCTTCTCCTTCTACATGGTACCTTTTCAGACCTGTAAATACCATGATCATATCTCCTCTAAATCTTTCCTTCTCTAAGCTAAATATGCTCGCTTTCTTCAACCCAGTGATATTTGACAACAAACATTTCTTAATCTTAGGTTAATTCTAATAAATAGCACATTATAAAAAACAAATTCTAATAAATAAAATATCATGTTATGTATTGATAAATGTTATTTATCTTTGATGATATAATATGGAATCCCCTATCTATCTTCATATAACATGGTTTCCAGATTCATAGCATGTTAAAGTTGGAAAGTATTATCTACAACAGAAATATCAAACTTGCTGCCCATAGTATGGCCAGAACCAGATTAAAATGTAATTGGGAAATGTTCGACAACATGAATGAAATTACAATTCAACATGAAAAATATTAATTTGTGGTTTTTGAAGGCAATATGTGGTCCACAGCAATCCATTTCTATTTAACACCACTGACCTAGGCCAAAACTTTCCATTTTACAGATCAGGAATCAGGCCCAGGGAGGGGAAGTGATTTGAACAAGATTATAAAGCTAGGAAGTCACAGAGCCAAGACCCAAGTTCAAGTCTCACACCTATGAATTCCTATCTGTAAAGTACAATAAGGCTTTTATGCCAATTTCCCAACGCTCTGCCCCTCCCAGAAGCATCATGGGAAAACACACCCAATTCTTTGTGATCACCCACATAATAATCCCTTGTTTCTTCAGAAGTTTTGAGGCCTTTCCTATCCATCATCTCATCTGATCCTCACAAAAGCCCTTTAAGGTAAGCAAGGCAGAGATGATCAACCTCATTTGTCAGATGATGCTGAGTGAGGTGAAGTCATTTATCTAAAGTTATCTAAGTGCTGGAAACTCTGGCTTCCAGATTCCTAGGCCAGTGCTATCCCCACTACACCCTCAGTCTCCACCACCCCCACCCCTTCCACATAATGAAAAATCCAGGCCTCTGGTCTCATTCAGGAGGGTTATTCAATCCCAGCTGTGGGAATGAGCTAAGCCAAAGGAAGGATCAGTCTGGAGCCTGGGAGACCCAGACCCTGGGTCAAGTTCAGTTCAAGTTTCCTTCTTTTAAAAGAAATAAGAACACAACATAGTTGCCTGTTGCTAAGGAGAAGATTCATCCAAAATCAGAGGTTCTCCAGGGGCTCTTGGGTAACAAGAAACTCTTTGTGAGTGAGATCTTGAGAAATAATGTGTAAATGAATCAGAATCAGGGTCAGGTTCCCCTCAGAGACACTAAAAGTGGTTTGCTCATATTTAACAGTTCACCGGCCCTGGGCCAGCCATCCCCTTGGCCAAGACCAAGTTTATGTGAGGCTAAGTTTCTCTCAAATCCCCCAGACAGAAACAGCCAACAATTATCTATGACCTGGAAAAGCCCATTTCCACCTTCTCCTTTCCCTGACAATATCTTGCGGGGGATGGAGCCATAGGCACCCTAAATCCTAGAATATTAGAGCAAGATTGGACCACAGAATACAGATTATTGAAGCTTCAAGGGACTTGAGAGATCCACTTCCTCATTTTCCTGATAAGGAAAATGTCCGCTAATTACTGGCAAATAATTCTGACAGTTGGGAAGAGGATGTTTCTAATCCTGAGCAATGTATACCTTGTACTTGATGCCAGATTTGAAGTAGCCAAGGAAGGTTGAAGACTCATAGCCCTGGACCTCCCGGTGCTGAATGGCTTTTCCATTCAGGTAGTCATCCATCTGTACGGTGAAAATGGCAGCAGCTCCACTCTCATCCTGAGTACACTCATTCCCTGGGAAGGGGGAGAAGCACAGTTATTATTAGCTTGGCATAAACTAGCTGTAATGTTGGGTCAATCGTTGCTCTTTCTAGAATCAATTACCAGTCAACAAACATTTATTAAGTGCCTACTGTATGCTGGCCACTATTCAAATTTCAGGAATCAGGAAAGAACCATAACACATGAAGTCTTTGAAATGAATGACTATTATAATCTCTTTCAGTTATTCCCACCAGGATACTCAGGCCAAAGCTTCCAAGGTCCCCAGAAACAATGTTCCTTGACAATGAACTGATGCATATGGGAAGACAGAGATCTCTTACATTTGTGGAGCCCTGGATACCATGCAGAAATGCCTTCCCAGTGATTTATAGGTCTAGAGCTGAGCACCAAAAACGCTATCTAGTCCAAACCCCTCATTTTACAGATGAGGAAACTAAAGTTCAGGGAGGTTAAGTGACAGACAACTAGGTGATGAACTGGATAGAGCTCTGGATCTAGAATCTGGAAGACCTGAGTTCTTATAAGCTATGTGACCCAAGCAACTCATTTACCCTCTGTCTGCCTTAGTTTCCTCATCTGTAAAACTAGGATTAAAAGCAGTACTGTGAGGATAAAATGAGTTACTATTTGTAAAGCTCTTTGTAAATTTTAAAGTGCTATATATAAATACTAGCTATAATTATAGCCCAAGGTCGCATAGGTGTCAAAGGTGGAACTTGAACCCAGGTCTTCTGGACGCCAGGGTTGGCTCTTCACTACACTATGCTACCCCTTGCTCACCTCCTTAGAGCCTCTATTTGAATCACATTAGAATGTAAGCTCCTTGTGAATAGGGATTGATTCATTCTTTGTGTTTATATTTCCAGCAATAAGTGCTTGTTGATTGATTAATTGATTGATTACTCACTAAGTCCTTGGAAAATGGCCAGGAAGGGATGAATATCCTGATTTTAGAGATGGGGAAATAGAGGCTCAGAGAGGAGAGTGGTCATAGAGGTGATAAGGGTCAAGGCTGAGATTCAAACCCAAATCTAACAGGGCCTGAGAGGTCCCTAAGACTACAACACAATAAATTTGGGTTCAGAAGATGACAGCTGCTATTCCCTAGCATCCCTACTCTGGACTCAAAATGGTCATGTCTATGTATCAGTTTTATATTTAACAAATGTTTATTGAGTGAGTGACTGTTAGGGAATAATCTCTTTAAAGGTCCCTGTGCTAATTTCACTATCACACAATCCCCCCCCCTCACCCCCCACCCCCAGGCCTGTTCCCCAGGTCACAGGTTCCATGCTTCATCGCCACCTGTGCCCTTCCTTCTCTATATACTGATTACCACTCTAATTACTATAGTGAATTATTGATGATAATGAGACTTTGCCTCTGATAAAGGTGCCAGAATTTCCTGTTGATGGCACTCACACTAAAGACTGGGAGGGAGATTTATTCTGTGTCTTATTTTTACTACTCCCCTTTTTAAAACTGCATTTTAAAATTGGATAGGTTTTGACATCAGAAATGAAAGGGACTTTAAAATGAATGTTAGAACATAGAAGATTAGGTTATTTAGAACATAGAATGTTGTTGTTAGGATGTTAGGGTTGGCAAAGACCTTAGAGGTTTTTAATCTGAATCTCTAGCCCACATAGAAATCCCCCTCCTATGTTATCCTTGACAACATCTGGTTATTCAGTCCCTGCACAGTAGGTGCTCAGCTCAGGGATGGGGGGAGGGAAGGAGAAGGGGAAGGGTTCGGGGAACGCCAGCTCCTTACCCAGCCAGAAGTGGAGGTCGTACTGCAGGGATCCATCTCTTCGTTTGACGGTGTTCAGGATTAAATATGCATCACCAGTGAAGAAGTCCCCATACAGGTTCTTGGGTACTGGTACTAAGTCAAACTGCTCCACCCTCCAGATCTGCAGGCCAGGCTCCTTCCCTGCCTTCAGGAACTCTGCATGTTCCACCACCATACTGACTGGCTGGGGAGAGAAAAGGATGAAGAGAGTTAATGAAGAAGTATCACAAAGGGGTGAATTCAGAAAAAGTCCTTGAGTTCCAGGACCAGAACCAATTTCAAATGAAGATAGAATGGTCTCCCACAGTGGAAAACTAAGATCTCAAAAAGGACTCAAAGAGAAACATCTAATCTTTTGCAGTCTGCAACCATTATCCTGGGAAGATGTGGGATTTCTGTAGCGCATTTCTACAAAGAATACCGGGATGAGAATCAGGAAATGTGGACTCTATCCCTGACTCTGCCACTAACTAGTTTTGTACAAGTGACTTCCTTTTTTCTGGGCCTCAATTTCCTCATCAGTAAAATAAGGAGGTTGGGCTAGTATCCCTTTTAGCTCTAACATTCTCCGATCTGTGTTCTAATATTCTAGTTCTAAGACCTTATCCAGCTCAAACTTTAATTTTTTGATTCACATCATTCTCTACCCCACATGGAAGGCTCCCAGAATCCTGTCTCGACCTTGTCGAGGTCCTTTTTGACCTCTCTCTTTCAGAATCCTTCCTCCATTTTCCTTCCTTCTTGATCCTCCACTGACTTTCCCAGTTTTCCTCTTCTGATACCAAGCAATTCCTGTTTGCTTGAACTCTGAACTCTTAAGGTAGCAATGAGGCACAAAGGCAGAAAATTGAATTATGTAGCAGTTAAAACCCAGTGCCTTCAGCTAGGGAACCCACCATCATTCTCCCCTTTACTCTGGGACCTCTGATTTACTTTCCTAAATATTTAGGAGATAGAACTTATAACTGAATGAGATTTCCCTTCTTCCTTTTTGGTGGAGCTTTTTAAAGACAAACAAACAAGCATTCTAAAGTCTGGCCCCAAATGCATCATGATATTTTAAAGAGCATTGGACTAGGAGTGAAGAGACCTAGGTTCTGTATACAGCTCTGCTACTAAATAGTTGAGGGACCTAGATAAGTTACCTCACATTTCTGAGGCTGTTTTCTCATTGTAAAAGGAGGGGGTTGGAACGAGGTTGCTTTCAGCCCCATCGTTGTATGTTTTAACATCCTCCATTCTAAGATTCTTTTGGGGTCTAACATTCCTACATTCTAAGGGCCCTTCCAGCCTTAATAGTCTCTGTTTTTGAAGGTCCCTTTCTGTTCTAAAATCCTAGTCCCGAAAACAGCTGCCTTTCTTTCATCATTTTCTCCAGAATCTAGGTATCCTGGATTGGCCAGTGCAAATTTTTAAAGCATAGCCTTTCGCAAACCCCACAGACAACGACTTGAAGAGACCATCCAGACTGTGCTTGTTTTCCGCCACAGCCTTGCCCCCCTCCCCCCCCACCTCCTTCACACACCACCAGGACAAATTCCGAACTTTAAGCTCTACACTGTCCCTCCCCGAACTACCCACCCACACCCCAGCAGCAAACTGCCTGATCCTGTTTGCAAAATTCAGAGGACAAATACAGGCCAGCCCCGAAATCAATAGAAATCGATCGGTGGCTCTGCTGGGGTGGGGTCCATCCCATTGCTGGATACAAGAGGGAGAGAAAACTTTTTGCATGCACCCATTCACTCTGCCCCCAGGAAGAAAGAAGATTGCGGCAGGTGAGCAGTTGGTTATGCTGAAGAAGGCAGAAGAGCACTTCCAAAGGCGATGCTGTCGATTAGTAAATATTCCAGTATAACAGCCAAAGGGAGAGAAAGAGGGGTCCAGCTTGAAACCGCGACCGGAAATCATACTTACAAAGCAACAGAATAGTTTTTCCATTATAGACCTTAATTATGCCCCTTTTCCTAGCGTTGTATCTGAAAAAACTTATAATAGAGAGTTAAATGGGGTTGTTTAGGGCAGGAAGCTCACAGCCCCGGCCTCCCCCCTTCTCCCTCTGTCCCTGCCTCCCCCCCCCCCCCCCGGGCGGCGCAAATCCATCCCCCCTCTAGCGGACTGGGAAGAGCGGGGGACGCCGGCGCCAGGCACTCACCCCCGCGGACAGCGCCACGGTGGCTGTAAGCAGAGAGACCAGTGAGCCCGGGGTGAAGGCGGCATGCCCGCAGCCTGCCCGCAACAGAAGGCAGCCCAGAGTCGCCAGCACCAGAAAGCCGCGGGCCATGTCGGTGCCCAGGCTCCGAGGACAGCGAGGAGAGGCTTAGCCGAGAAGACGGGGAGAAGGTTGGCTGCGTCCTTCTCCCACCAGCAGCAGGGCCAGTATATAAGATGGCCCGGCCCGCCCAGCCACAGTAGGGACCCGCCCCAGCTCCTCACGTGAGTCCAGACCCAAAGCAGCCACCTGGCTCTGGACCCAGGGCCCTCCTCAATCTAGCCTTCCTGTCCCAGCCCTGGGCCTTTCATGGAGTATGGGGCAAAATCACTGGGAGGTGATGGGGGAGGGAGGGAGATGTTCAGATTGACCCATGAAGGGACTCGAAGGGTCCTTCAGTGAAAGAGACCAGGACCCACCACCCCATTCTTAGGATCATAGAATTTAAAGATGAAAGAGACCTTAGTAATCATGGAATCCAAACCCCTCATTTTGCCCAGAAAGAAACTGAGTCCCAAAGAGGGAAAGTGACTTATCCAAGGCCCCGAAGTTAGAATATGGCAGTTCATATTTGAATCAGGTCTTCTGACTCTAAATTCAATGCTCTTTCTAAGTGAATGCCACTTACATCTCTTACTTCCCTCAACCTCATGCATGAGCACAGCCCATGTCTGTATGGCCATTTGCTAGGTTACAATGCACTTTACCTACATTGTATCCTCACAGCATCCTTGTGAAGGTAACAAGGCAGGGATTGTTCCCTCCATTTTGCAGACACTGATAATAGTAATGTTGTCCACATTTCTATAGCACTTTAAGGTTGTTTTTCCTTTCTTTACAAAACTGTGAGGTAGGGCACACAAATGTCATTACTCACATTTTGCAGATAAGGAAAACTGAGGAAGCTTAGGGGAAGCGATTTGTCCAAAGTCATCTGGTAAATTGTAGAAACTGATCTTTGGACTACGAAGTCCAAGGCTCTTTCCATTAGCAACCTCTAATAATAATCTTCTGCATGTGCATTTATAGCCCTTCACAGTTTACAAAATGTTCTCACATGCCTTTGCTCCTATCAACAACCCTCCGAAAAAGTGTATAATGCAAGTGATTTGCAGTCAAAAAGCCAAGGTATCAGTCCCAGTTGGACTACCTCCTACTGCCACAAAACTATCTGTATGACTTCAGTCAAGTCATTTAATATCTCTAGACCTCATTTCCTTCATCTGAAGAATGGAGAGAGAAGAGGAGGATTGAGAATTGGACTGTGATAACGTTGCCTGGAATGGAGTAAATTTTTAGTAAATGTTTGTTGATTGATTGACATCAGAGACATTTAACCCAACACTCTAAATATACAGTGACACCGATGGTGACAATATGGTACAGAGAAATAAAAGTGACTTGTCCAAGATCACACAGGTAGCAAGTAACAGAGTTAGGATATGAACCCAATTATTCTGATTTAATCCATTTATCCTATTTAATCCATTGATCCTATGCACCATCACCTCAGTCTTATCCAGGAGCCTGCCCCTTCAACTATCCCTTCTTTTTCTCTAATTTTCTTTTTTTAATCCTAATTCTATTAATTTATTTTGTTTATGCATTGCTATAATTTCTAAATCCATCCCTTCTCCTCTCCTTTTTCTTCCCAGAAAGCCATTCTTTATTTTAAAAAAAGATTTTAAAAAAGGAAAAATAAATGCCAGTTCTGCAAAAACCAACCAATGCAATAATTATCAATATACCACACCTATAGTCTCCCACCTCTGCAAAAGAGGTAGGGTCTTGCACTAATTTTCAATCTCTTTTTATCTACTGAATCTTTCCCTGCTGCTTTACATATGACCAACTCACTTCCATTCTTAAAAAACCCTTAGATGATTCTATAGTTGCCTCAAGCTACTTTCCTATATCTATTTTTCCTTTCACAGCCAAACAGAAAAAGCACTTTATATTCCATGCATCTATTTTCTCATTTCACACTCATTTCTCAACCCTTTTGACCTGGCTTTCAATCTGATCATTCACCTAAAACTGCTCTCTCCAACAATCCCTTAACTGTCAAATCAGATGGTGTTTTCTCAGTTCTTGTCACTTTTTTGACCTCTAAAGCATTTGACACTGTTGGCCAGCCCTTTTTCCTAGACATCTTCTCCTCCCTGCGTTTTTATCACACTTGTCTCTCATTTTCCCTCCTTCCTGTCTAGCATCTCCTTCTCAGTATCCTTTATAGATCATCATTCTTAACCCATCCCTATGTGTGGGTATGGAGTACTCAGAGTTCTGTCCTGGGCTCTTTTTTTCTTCTATCTACAAATTTTCTCTAGGTGATCTCATCAACTAGCACAGGTTTAACTATCAGTTCCATACAAATGACATACAGACTTGTCTTCACAGGCCCTGTCTGTCTCCTAAATCATTCTTACTTCATCCAGTGCTTATTGGACATCTCCAAATGAGTGTGCCACGAACATCTCAAGCTCAGTGGGTCCAAAACAAACTCATTGTCTCTCTGTCCCACCTTCAAAAAACAAAACATCTCTTCCCAACTTCACTACTTTTTGGAGGGGACCACCATTCTTCTAGTCATCCATTTTCACAACCTCAGAATCATCCTTGACCTTTCCCTCACCCTTGACATTCAAACAGTTGTCCCTCTTGTGAATTCTGCCTCAGTAATCTCTCTCACATCCATCCCCTTCTCTTTGCTTACATGGCCACCATTCTAGTTTTTCTCTTGTCTGGATTATTGTAATAGCCACCTAATTAATTTTCCTGTCTCCAGTATCTCTTTTCTCTAATACATCCTCCACCCGTTTGCCAAAGTGATATTTCTTTTTGCTTTTTGAATATTTTATTTTTCCAGTAACATATAAAAATAATTTTTAACATTTGTTTTTTAAAATTTTGAACTCCAAATACTTTCCCTTCCTTCATCCCTTCCCCCTCTTTGAGAAGCCAAGTAATTTGATATAGGTTATACATGTGCAGTCATGCAAAACATATTTCCATATCAGGCACATTGCAAAAGAAAACACAAACAAAAAAAAAAACCCATCACACACACACAAGGAAAAAAGTATGCTTCAATTTGTATTCAGACTCCATCAGTTCTTTCTCTGGAGGTGGATGGCATGTTTCATCATGAGTCCTTCAGAATTGCCCTGGATCATTGTATTGCTGAGAATAGCTAAGTAATTCACAGTTGATGATCCTACAATATTGCTGTTACTGTGTACGATGTTCTCCTGGTTCTGCTCACTCAAAGTGACATTCCTATGCACAGGTCACTCACCTACTCTAGAAGTTCCAGCGGCTCCCAATAGCCTCGAGAACAAAATGCAAACTCCCCTGGCTTTTAAAATCCTTCATAATCTGGCTCTTGCTTAACTTTCCAGGCATGTAGTATATTGCTCCCCCTCACACACCTTATGCTTCAAACAGAACGGCCGATTTGCTATTGTCCACATAGGACATTCCATTGTTGGACCTGACTTTATAAGAACTAGAATCCATTTCTTCCTCACCTCAGCCTCATAGAATCCCTAGTTTCCTTCAAAACTCAGCTCAAGTACCACCTTCTACAATAAAATTATCCTTATTCCTTACCCCAATTCCAGCTAGTATCCTCTCATCAGAAATCACTTTGTATATTCTTTGAATTGCCTACATGCATGCTGTTTCCCTCTAAAAGAATGCTTCATGTTTGTTTTTGTATTTAATGTCTAGCACTGTGATTGGCACATAGTAGGTACTTAATAAATGCTTATTAAATTTAATGGTCTCCCCCAGCTCTAGATTTATGCACCTATGAATTCTGTTATGTATTAGATCTTTATTTCTCTCTTTGATTTCCCTGGGGCACAAGCCCACTTTCAGGGTCAAAGACTAATGAACAACAGTTTACCCCCTTTTCTTGCAAAATTCCAAACTTGTATCTAGAATGGTTGGACTCAAGTGCTCTATTTGTTGATGAATTCAAGCATTGGTTGGTTTTACAAAAATGGCTTTTTTTCTCCCTTTCTTTTAAAATCTTTTTTTTTTCTTTTTAACAAGGGGTGGCTTGTTGGGAGGGAAAATGGGAGGCAAAGGGATAGGGTCAGAATGATGATGATATATGAAAACCAAAAAAAGAATAGAAATTAAAATTTTAAAAGAAAAAAAAATTAGGGAAAGAGAAGAGATGGGAAGGATCAAGGGCACAAATTCTCTAACTTGAGTTATACAGTTTGGGAGAAGGGCCACCTCTTTCAGAATGGAGCAAAGGAGAAAAAAGTGTGTGTGTGTGTGTGTGTGTGTGTGTGTGTTTGTGTAGGGCTAGCAGGTGATGTCAAAATGATTTGGAGTGCAGGGTTGGAGAGAAAAGGGGAATCAGGATGGAAGGCCCATACAATGATCATTTCCAAAGCACTCTTCACAGTCTTAGAACTGACTCAAATCTACCCAACCCACCTCTTCCCTAGCTACCAAGAATTTTCTCAGTAAACTGTTCTTTGGACTGCTTAGTCTGGAGGATGGGGGACAGGGCAAAAGAGATTACATATTTTATCTTTTAGCCATAAGCTTGAGAGTGACTGTGGTGAATTGGTGTTTTCTTTTTGTTTTGTTTTGTTTTTCCTGCTGGATCTATGATTTCAATAATATAGGAAACTCCCTTTACCAATACAGATCAGCACCTGTTCTGCAACTCTAGGGTTTAGAAAGTTGCCTGGGGCACTGGGAGATTAAGCAATTTAACGCTTCCTTTCTGCACAAAAAGTATGTGTTAGGTTGGACCTGAGCCTAGGTCTTCCTAATTCTGAAGCTGATTTCTCTATCCACTACCCCATAAACCACTTGCCTTTTTTCAGATTCTGCCTTTGATGCTTTCTTGTTATATGACCATGGGCAAGATATTTAACGTTTTTGTCTCCTTAACTGTAAAATGGGGTTATTACCCACTGTGCCTGTTACAGAGCTTGCATGTTTGGAAATTTTAAAGAGTTAGAGTGATGATTACTTCAGTTATCTGGGCCTCACTTTCAGTAATTGCTGAGTGGAAAGAAAAGAGAGATGCTAAGAAAGTAAATGTCAAAATAATGCAAGGAAGTACTTTTGCTTTCCCAGGAAGATGGCCTACAACTAAAAGGTGTTATATTATCCTGGCTTCCCTGAGAAGAGCCTTAAT